GTGGGGACTGGTCAAGCAGCCAGACGGGGCAGAGGATCAGGTAAGCATATCATTGTTATTGTAGACCCTAGACCAAAAGGAGCACTTAACCCTTACGGTGAGGCTAACCCTGCACTGCAAGGTTTAAGTTTTTTTCCCCTGCCCAGAGTTGTTCTTTAAGTAAATGTGGAAAATATCTAAGTTCAGTTCTGACTGTGACTTTGTTTTTGCTGTTCAGCCTGCAAGACAATCTGCCACAAAAAATGTCTGAGTAAGATGCAGATCCGCTGTGCACCTGTTGGAGTAAAAAGTGTAAGTGTTATATTATATGTCCTATAACTGGTATGTGGTCTAAGGAGAAACTTCACCGGGCTGCCAAAGAATAGTTAAAGAAAAAAAAAGTTAGCAGCTACAAGTACTGTGATTAAAAGAGACGTCACATCCCCGCCCTCCTCTCCTCCTCCAATCACAGAATGCCCTGCATTCTGAGAAAATACAAGACATTGTAGGAGGATTGTGAAGAGGGGAGGGTGATGTGACTGGAGCGCTGTACTGCTAGAATCGCAATCCTCGCTCTTTTCAGGGCCTGTTCACACCAATTGCCAGTGCTTTCCAGAGCGGTAGCTGCTGGAATGCACAGCAATCGCTCACTAAACTTCCTCCTTCCTGACACTGCAGCCATCCCCCCCCCCCACACCCCCCCCCCCCCCCACACACAGACACACATACCCCCTATGCATGCAGCATTTTGCGTTTTGCAGTGGACCGAAACCTAGGCAATGTTTTGCCAGCCATTGACTTCACTGCACCGCCACACCCCCTCCCGCCCCAGAATGAAGGAGGAAGTTTAGTGAGCAATTGCCATGCATTCCAGCAGCTACCACTCTGGAACGCACTGCAATTGGTGTGAATGGGCCCTCAGTGTCTGGAAGCTGAATGTTGTGTGCAGGAAATGGAATTCTGCAAGGTAAGATTTTTATACTTTACAGTTGCCTTCTGTACCTAACACCCAGCTTTTTAATGATCATTTACTCACCCAGTGTACTCTGGAGTGTGGCTTTAAATATGAGACCTGAGAATAAATGCAGAGGTGTATGCAGAACAGTGGGATATACCAAGGGATATGGGGGAGTAAATACTATGCATGAAAACACAAATACTATGCATTCTAAAATAGTTTGAGTTCCTGCCAGCTTATATTGAAATCAGATGGCCTTATCCTGGTAACTGACATTTGTGACCAGCCTGGATGTTGCTAGATATTTGTAGAACTTCAGCATCATATGACAACTGCGTACATAATACACTATGTGCCCATATTTAGTTCTTTAACCTCTTGCCGTCCGCCCGTATTAAAAAAACGGACGGACGGCACTGCAGCATCTGCGGGTTGCCGTCTCCAGGCGGCAATTTTTTTCTGCTCGCGCGCGCCCCCTAGCGGGCACGCACGGGCAGAAAAGACCCGCTCAATGCACACACCCGTTACCGGGTGTTTCACATATAGGCGATCGGTGGGTCCATAGCCCGCCGATCGCCTATATGTGCTCGTCCCCCCTGACCCCTCACCTTGATTCCCGGGATCCGCTGCCCCATCTTGGATCCCGGGACCGGCTCCGAGGGCGTCAGGAGGAGGAGGACGGGAGATCAGCTCCTTGCTGATCCCCGTCCGGGCTGTGAATGCAGAAGTGATGTGTGTTACATCACTTCCGCATTCACCTGTCAGTCATCTGGAGAGAGAAGAAGCTGATAAAGCAGATCTCTGCTTTATCAGCTTCTTTTGGGGTCCATAGGTGATATTAGGGGTCCTAGAGACCCCTAATATCTCCATAAAGAGGACCTGTCAGTGTGCCTTTGCTATTATATAGGGGGTTGTTATCCCCCTATATAATAGCAATAACAATAAGTGCAAAAAAAAAAATATAAATAAAAAAAAAGAAAAGTAACACATAAAAAAATAAAATAAAATAAAAGCCACATATAAAAAAAGGGGAAAAAACCCCCCCAAAATGTTTAACTCCCCCACCCCCACGTTTACGCGCCTATAAACGTAAATACGCGTCCGGTGCCCCAGCGCGCAAAAATTACAATTGCGCTACACATGTTACATATCGCCGCGAACGTCGCAGTGAGAGCAATCATTTTAGGGCCATCAATCACTGATAACACTAAACTGATGAGCGGTAACAGCTTTTAAAGCGTCGCCTAGGGCCAATTTTGGGTATTATCGTTTTTTGAGGTTTCGCGCGCGCACGCAATTTTAAGGCTTGACATGTTTAGTGTCTTTTTACCCGACGTGACCCCATCTTTTATATTTTACCAAAAAATTGGGTAATAATAAATGTTTTATCATTTAATATAGGGGAAACTGTTTTTTTTTTTTAAATTTCGGTAATTTTTCCTTAATATAGTAAAAAAATAAAACCCCCAGTGGTGAATAAATACCACCAAAAGAAAGCTCTATCTGTCCCCAAAAAAGGGTATAAAATTCATTTCAGTACAGCGCTGCATGACGGAATAAATGTCAGTTAAAGTACCGCAGCGCTGAATACTGAAAAATGGCCTGGATGGGAAGGGGGTTTAACACCGCGGATGTCAACTGGTTAATGACCGCAATGACAGTTCTGGCCAGAATATGTCCAAGCAAAACAGCTAAGGTCTATAATGACTTAATTTGCTGTGGATGATTGAGCCAAATATGGGCTCTTCATCTAATTTAACTTTGAGTACATTACAGTCTTGTATAAAAATTCAGATTTTTTTTTAGATTTAACTTTTTCATTTTTGTTTACATGTTCACAGAACCAGGGCAATCACTTTGGCGTTCATGTGGCTGACTTAACCGAGACAACTTCTGTACCTCTTGTTATGGAGGTACTTCTTGAATATCTGGAAATGCACGGCTTGTACACAGAGGGTATCTATCGCAAATCTGGGGCAGCCAACTGCATGCGAGAGCTTAAAATATCCTTGGAAAAAGGTATACAATGATTGCATAAAACTGGCATCTCTGTTTACACAAGGTGTATGTGTATGTATGTATATGTGTGTGTGTGTGTATGTATATGTGTATATATTTATT